GTTACGTGAATGCCAGATGGTTAAACGTCGTCACAGAACAATGCAGTGCCAGTAGACACAGCATATGGGCAAAGAGACCTACAATTTAAGTCTAAACCGATAGAGCTTTTAGTTACTGCAGTAGGCAAGGATATTACTCGTGTTCCCTGCTTTGTCTGCTCGTATATTTCCGCATTCACAGCTTTTGGTACACGCAGTTAAAATTCACGCGTTGTGCCAAACAGATAGCCGAAGTTAAAAGGGACTGGTAGATGCAACAAATGATAACAGTTCTGTACCGTTGTTACCAAATTATGCCGCTCAGGGCAAATTATTTGATTGAAGAGGCGCGGCATTTTGTGGAATTCATTCTGCGAAACGGAATGAAGGAATATAGAAACATTCTGTAAAATTGCCCAGATATGTAAACTATAAATGGCTTTTACTGCTACAATAAACATAAAGGGAAAATTTGACTTTGTATAGGTGGTATCTTAAGTAACAATCCATAAAATGTATAATCTTTCGTAAACTTCGGATATGCTGTAGTTTTGATCCGAGTGGTAACTACCATATGCTTTAACAAATATTAATAGTTCAGTCAAAATGTCCCGTACTTCCTTGTCCACTGACACAGAACAAAACGTGCTTTCGGGTTTCCATTGATTTAAACTGCAATCTGCGTTGCGGAATAAGAACTTTAAGCATGGAATGTTAAACTTCTCACATTCGTAATTTTCATGCATAAATGTACAAATTATTCCATGTGGCATCTAATGATACAATGTTTGTGAATGAGGAATTTAAATGGGCGCTGAAATAAGTCGTCGTGGCCTATTTTGAGGTATCCTGCTATTCAGAACGTGCCTGGAGGGACTGAGGAAAACCTTCAGATATCTCTGTCAAATCACGAACCCTGGATCTCCCGCATATCAAGCCCTGGTGTTAACCACTGCGAAGTCCAGGGAACAATTTAAGTAATGTCATTACTTATACAGTGTCTCCATCTGTTAGCCAATTTTCACACTGCATTCCTTACCGATACGCATAAGTGGAATAAGTCCAGTATCCACTTTCCATTCTAGCCTCGTTTTCCTGAAAGGAGAACACAATTTAAACAAACACGAAGGCCATCAGCGGCTTTCAAAATCGCCCAACAGAGTGTGCTGTAATTCTGAATATCGAATGGAGGATATAAGAACGACGAACCTTGACTAAGGATCGTGTCCTGTGTCCTGTGGCAGGTTCCGGTACTTCCATGTTTAACCTGGTTCTGATTTTAGACAGTTGCTAAGTCCGTGATTCTTACAGCATAAACTGTGAGAGAGATTTACCTGAAGGTTGTGAATCAAAGTAATTTATATTTTTCTTAAAAGATGTGCTAGGCCTAATTAAAGCGATTATTCTATTGTGACAGAAATTGCATAGCCCTGTTTTACGGGCCTCTGAATTGTATCAGTTATAAAACCTGCAAAACTAATCAATACTGAAGATTTAAAAATGATGCAAGAAGTGACGTAGTTGTTGTGCGGAGGTACGCGAATTGCGACCACAAACTTGTTTTATTATGAGAATGGTTGCAGTGGCAACTATTCTAAGATTCAGAAGCGACGGCGTCCGAAGGTCAGTTGCGCAGAAATAAGGATTATTATATTGAGTCAGTTAAACAAGTCTTCGATGCTCGTATCTATTTTCTGTAGCTGCTTTAACATGTTATATTCTGTGCTCGTGTCTGAGAAAGTAAAATGATTCGGGTGTTTGTTTTGATTCTGCGATGTGATTTTAAAAATGGAGCACTAAGTATCAAAATCAGAATTTTTTTAAGGTAAACTGGTGAGTAAGTTTTAGCGTAAGATTAAAAAAAGATACGAGGAATGGTGAATCTGCGCATTGTTACCAAGTTGAATGCTGATTCGGACATTGTACAGTTGAGTCGATGCGGACGAACTTCAAATATAGCAACTTTATAACTCTCTCGGCATGAACCTCTCACTCATCCACCGTCATATTTGAATCCTAGAGTAGTGGAAAAAAGTGCATGTCTGTAGGTGGATTCTGTAACAGTATTCTAGTGGCCCTGTATGGCATCTTGAAGTGATTACCTTTTATTTTCACGGTGTAAGCCTGTCTCATTCGTTGCTATACTCTGACCCAAGGTTGACAGGTGTGACCTGCATTGAGATTTCCAGTTTTATCTAACCTTGTGTCAGTATGAAGTTGACTGAAAATGTCAGGCTGTTATAACATCGATCGGAAGGTCACAGCCAAACCCTGATCAAGAAATTCTCTCGTTTTACGAAACCCGATCATTGATTGTCGTATTCACAAGGGCACAACAAGAATTTTTATCCGAATCAGTTTAAATCACTGCACAATTTAACGCCTTCTTATACAAGATGGCTTTTAACATATTTTTTTTCCATCTACGATTATGTCGTCCGGTTGGCCTATTAAATTTTACTTTCGAACTCAGAAATTTTCACGTTGGGCTATTTATAGTTTTTCGCGCGCATGTTATTTGTCTTACCTACGCGGTTGAATATCGTTCTTGCTGTTTATCTTGGTTCGTAAGCCACTCTTGCGTGTAGGTAGGGATGGTAAGAAAGCCGCCTGCGGTCAACGTCCGAACGAAGCTGTGACTGGTCAGTCTGTGTGTTTGTGTCGTGAGTCTCCTATAGAGCCACTCTGAATGTTTCGCTTCCCAGCTGACATCACGATTTGAAGCCTGGTAACCGAACCACGAACTTCTCCCCAAACTTAGTCGTTCTCCACAGCATTACTAATCTGAACTGTTTTAACATTTACATCGGCAGCGCCACCAAAAGTTGTAAATTCATAGTGTATGAAGGCCAGCATAGTTTAGGCTAGCTGGAAACTAACTGGCTATTGGCTCAATGAGCGTGGTTTGATTCCAGGTAGAGGCGAATACACCACTTCTGAAACACCCCACCACCATCGGTCTTTTAACCATTGTGTACAGACGATTCTGTTCAAGGGTTTGAAAATGATAAGAAAATGCAGATTCCGCCAGACACCACTACAAGCGCCATTAAAGCCTCGTTTCATATTTCTTGCTAACAGAGTCGCTAGCGTCAGAATTTATTTTAATGTTTTCCTCATACCACGAACGACACATTCGTCGAGTGAATCGTGACGGACATTGTCTATTATATGATAGGTATACTTATATTTCTATCTGTTTGTTGTATGAATTGTTTTGTAATGCTAAGTTAAGAAAAACCCTTCTAATTTGCAATACAAACCTTTAAGAAAATTACCTGATTTGAAGATGTTAATGATATACAAAATTATGCCGTATTTCATTTTACTTTCGTCTGAGTACCGTTGTGGGATCCATTAAGAGAGAAGTCCACATACATTATTCATCACTTCGCGTTTGAAAGGAATCCATTGCCTCATTGACAAGTTGTTTATTTTATGCGACATTCTTTCAGGTGATATGTTTTCAGACTATCGTTTATTGCTGGCTTCAAATGAATTCTTATTGTCATTATGATGTTCCTCTGGGTTTTGGCGCCGTGTGGACTCGTCCATCTTCAGTCCTAAGGTGGTGAGAGTACGTTTCAGTGCTTCTACCGACGAATCAACGCGGCTCCAAAGCCCAGAAGAAAAACCTAAAATCTCGAATACTTGTTTTGTGTTCGATAGATTTGAATTCTAATGTCGGCACTAACAGAGGATATCGTGAAGTTTACTTGGTTTTCCTCATGACCGTAAGTCTGATATTGGGATAATACCTTAAAATAAGCCCCAACCAAAGGATAGCTGTCTTCTGGGTTGTAGCGCTATATAGTCTAGTAGATGTTTACCAGCGTTTCAGAGGTCCTTGCTACCTCCATCATCAGAGCGATCCTCCTGATGATGGAGGTAGCAAGGACTTCTGAAACGTCGGTAAACTTCTACCAGACTACATGGCGCTACAACATAGAAGACAGGCATCTTCGAATTCACCGCCGTGAAAACCCGAAATCCTATTAAGCCTCGTCACTTTCTTTTATGTTTCTGGCGCATTTGCGTCCGTGTGGATTCGTGAAACAACTTGAGGATATTAAGTTCATTAAGGATCGACACTGGACAGTCTTAATTTATAATTGTCTCATATCTCAGTTCGAGATATTGTGTCTGACTTCGATGACCGTAAAGCGAGACAGGAGTCAGCAAAAACCCATATTTGTTGTACTACATTATAGAAATAGGAAGGGAACCGAGTGGGTCTGTGTACAACCGCAGATACAAGTTCAAAGAGCAGCAGTTCTAAACAGCCAAGCAGGCCCTTTGCGTTCTTCCGATGGAATGTTCCAAGGCCCCACATGAAGCGACTCACTGCACGCTCGGTAATGTACCGGCACTGATTTGCTATCTCACTCACGCGCTACATTAACGGGATTATATTTCTTGTATCTAGATATATCAGCGCTAGGGCAAACTTCTACCAGACGCCACGGCGCTACAACCCAGAACACGGTTGTCTTCACACTCGCCGCCTTGAGAGCTTTAAATGTTTTTGATCGCTATTAAATTGCCCGTCAAAAGTTACGGGAAATCTAAAGTCGTAAACACACATAGTCATAAATGTTACCCGATAAGGCAGCAAATGATCCAGCAACCAACATTTGCTTATTGCGTCATTAGAATGTCCACAGTAAACGCATGTAAGATTTAACGGGGTATGTGAAGTCGCGCTGAGTACAATTGGAAATATGCTTGTTAACACCGTAGGCTTGGTTCTTGTAGCAAGCTGAGACAGTTCAACTGACTAATGTATCTAAGGATGGCTGTATTCTGGGATGATTTACCACGTAGTCCGGTAGTTATTGGCCCCTCTGACGATTGAGGCAGCAGGAACCTATCATTGTCTACCAGACTAGACAAAGCAATATCCCAAAAAACAGTCATTTTATATTTGTCGTCTTGAGAACTTGATATCTCAAATAACTTATGTTTCATCGTTTATGTCCAGTATACAAGGTTAATATTTTCTTTTTTTGCATTTCTTGCAGGAGAAGTTTCAAAGCCATGACCATATTACTGCGCAGTCGCAGTAGCATGGTGTACTTTTTCGGTGGTGACGCCTCACACAGCAGCGCCGGGTAGCGTCGTGGTGATGAGGCGTCACGGCGCTTCTCACGACGCCAACCCAGGTTCTTTCTACGTGCCCAGCCCTCCACAGCAACAACCACAGCAGCATAGTCCAATGGTGAGTCGGTGTAGTACAGTCCAGATGTACACTTCAGTCAGAATGAAGAAAGTAATGGGTAGACCATAACTGTTCGGTGGTTGTATGATTAGGGTTGCAGCAGATTTGGTCCGTGAAAGGAAGTGAACTCGACTAACTGCATGGAATAGGGTCCTTTTGATAAGTTCGTAATAGGCTCAGACACTGAAGAAACCTCAAGTCTCTTACGGAACCGGAAATTTTGTTTGTTTTTAAAAGGGTCTGCTACTTGTAGATAACCTTACCGAAGTGAATCCAGTCCGCGTTCTATCATCCTATTTACATGAAGTCAATTTTAATATTGTCTTACCATTTTTGTTCAGATATCACCGAAGAAACTTTTGCTCGTATTCCTAATCTTGCAGTTTGTAGATTCAGCCTTCCAATATTAGAATTACTTTTGGAAATATGAATCCTTTTAAAACATTTCGTGGGTTTTGTTGGACGAAAATTTCGGCCGTGTTCCACACTACTTTCAATCATAGCGCTTCTAGAGCAACTTTCTGGCTCTCTGTCTGTCTGTCTGTCTCTTACTTGTACTTTTATCACAATCTGTACCGTCCGTGTTCAATGAACTCAGCCGGATTCAACATTATTTCCGGTTGATAAAGTCCGGGTTCTTTCCTTTTGTACACGCAAGATGTTGAACTTTAATGATACGATGTATCTGACGTTGAATAACAACTCTGAAAGACTCCCGTCACTGATGACAGTGCAATCTCTTGACAAACGAAAGAATTACTTACAGGCAGATGCTTCAAATCTTGAAGTTCTCATCCGTTCTGTATCAATGGATTTAAAGTCTATTGCGTGTAGACATCTGATGTCCATTATACTTAGTAACGTAAAATACAGGATATGTGATATTCTTTCTGAATTTAGATTGGAAATGTACTTAGAGACAAAGAGAAAACACTTTTCCGTAACGCCTTTGTCATGCGGCAACTTCTCTTGCATGAGCGCAGTGCGTGTAGCATGATCACCGATATGCAGGCGGATTTACCAAGTAAATAGAATTCATGTGTTGAGGCATTCCATTTAGGACAGATGCATATCCCCTGACCCCGAGGCATTGTTTCATCAGTAATTTGTGTCTAAAATTGAACCTCCATTAAACGGAAACCTTTCTCAAACGTGTTTAGATACTTCGAGATTCTTTCAAGGAGACTTTACTGTCTTTTGATGGGAGTGTACTGCAGTCCGATCAGGCACGTCAAGTTCCGTTATACGGGTGCTTGAGTTGCTCTGTGCTCTCGGAACAATAACCTGTCTGTCTGTCTATGTGGCTGCCCTACCACTAGACTGTCCTCGCCTTGCCGTCTGCTGTTCGCCTCAGTCTCCGTACTCAGTAACTCTTAATCCGTCATCAAACGTAACTTCATAGCCAAATTTCTGGTTAAGAAATTTCCTGTTTACACGGAAAACCGAGATTTTATCGTCGTTTTCACAAAATCCCACGATTGTGTTTAATCTGAGCTTGTTTATTCCACTTGCGTTCCCTGTTACACTGTCAAACCTTCTAATATTATTTCGTGGGTTCTTTGCAGTACGCGTTGAATTCTTAAATATTATTTGAAATAGTTTGTCGTGCAAAGAATTACAAGCACCTTTTCTAAAGAAAGACATAAAGCTCGGACTGTTTTGTTATTCCGTTTAGTGTGAGGCTTTTCTATGGGCCCATCTCTCTTTTTGAGGATTATTACGAAATAAATAAAGATTTCAGGATTAATTTTGGATCGGCCAGAATGTATAGGTCTACATTTAGTATCTTCCTAGTTTCAAAATCATATACGTGACTTTTATTCTGATTGCCTTCTGATTAATTCAGTTTCTTGTTGCGTTGGTGAGGTTATGATTCCTGTCGTGCTGCTGGATATGGACCCATAATTCTTCTTTCTTCTTCCACTCGTACAGTAGGAACATACGGCACGTAGCAAAAGTCCGAGGCGCCGTATTTGGTACACTGTTCATTCGGTATTATTTAACAGCATAGCAGCAGATCGTTCCATTCATGAGATCAATCGCTGACTGTAACGTTCCTGGTTTTATAATTTTACTTCCCACTTTTACTGCCCAGATAAAGTCCTGTTATCTAAACCCACTCTTACCCCACTTCCTTATATAGATAAAATGTGTAGACTAATTTCAACTTGTCACTATTAGTCTCCAGAGAAGTGAGGCCGTGTGGACTTGCAGATAGATATAAACGTTTTGGTTGAACATCCTGCCTAAATTTTCAGAGCTAAACGTTGGTATCTGCCTACAAATCCACATAGCATTGCTACCCACAATACCGCCGTCAAATCTTCAAATCCTTGAGAACCTCAGATATCATGTTACTTTTAATTGATACATAAATCAATGCCCCTACGATTTTCTGATGTTTCTGTGTAAAAAGTCGTGTGTGCATTGTTGCATTCGTAACGGAACTTTGTCTGGTTTAAGAACCATCTGTTGAAGCATGGGTTAACTTATTAAGAATTCGAGAAAGTAACCTGGCTCTTATAAAAAAAAGTTAGTTGGGTTTGATGCGAGCAATACCCCGCCATGTTTCGGTAGAATCGTGACCCACATTCTAGAAGAGTACAGTGCACTGCTTGGATGAAATACATGATAAGCGGACGAACTCGCTGCCTTACAGCAATCGGCCTTCGTCGGGTTCGCCTCGTCTGCCTACCTGAATGTCAAATACCTTCGCGATCTCTCTGATGTTGAGTAAATAATGCACTCATCTGTACGAGAGTTGCGTTTGTTTCTGTAGTGGATCTCACTATCTTCCAGGTTTACACATTACGAAGTTTATTTTAAAATTTAAACGTTACGTATTTGACAGATTTATATTTGAAAACTCTACCACTGTGTATTTCAGGTTCTCAAGGCGACGAATAAGATTTCTGTTTTGTGAGGTGTTGAGATGTGTATTCTGGTAGAAGTTGACATTTATCGGGTGCTTGCTGCCTCCAGAGACACTAAGCACCCCTGAAACGTCCGTTAGATTCTGCCAGACTACGCGGCTCAACATCTCAGAAGGCTGCCATCTTCAAGAAATATACCAATATCATAAGATGAAAGTTTAATTATGTCAATATTCCCGTCTGAATTATAAATACAGGCGGGGAATTTCTATGGCGTATCAAAATCTCTGTGATTAAGGAGTATAAATCTGTATTGGATGAAAATTTGAGGCGTATGGACATTTCTCACGAACAGTGTCAAGTGTGATCTAGTTTTAGGCGTTTTTATTGACAACATAAGTGGGAGCTGGTTTACAGTGTGTTAATTTTGCTTGCACCAATGTAATGTTCGTCGTATTCAGTCGGTCGAATACGTATAGTACTTTAGGTAATTGTGTATTTGCTTACCTGTAATAAGTATTTCATGTGATCATAGTATCTTCTGTTTTCTGCATAACGCGTTTGTTATTATTCCACCTATAATTAGCGTCTGTTTCCAAGATACGGAAATTTTGTGATGAATACATGTAAACGTAATCCCATTGTGTAACAAAATCATAATTTCCGATATAAGAAGTCAAGGTAAGAAGATTTCCTCCCTGTGCAGCTAAGATATATTGCCTTCAACGCCTTCTGAATCGTTACGCCTGATTGGAGGAATTAGTTACATCAGGAAGACCATTTATCTTCGTCTTAACACAAATAAAAATAAGGTTTGCAATTTTTTGATTAATCATGTGTACAGTGAACATCTGTAATTGCATCTAGGCCGGAGCAGACTTCGAAATTTTCACGATTGAGTTATTTCTGAAAAGCTGCACTGACATTCAGCTCCTATCTGATCCTGCTTCTCATGTCGCTGTTTTCTGTCGGTGAAATGCCAAACGCTGTAACAATAATAGAGGGCGACTGATTTCCAGTCACATGGTCTAGGCTTACTTCTTCTTTCGATATTATAATCAGTGACGAATGATTTTTCATCAAATGTTGTTAATGGTCAGTATATGCTTAAAGCTTGCCACCAAAGCTGCTTCAGACTTGCTTAGATTAGTACCAAATTAATGTCATTTTTGTGGTGGTCATGATGATCGAGGCAGTACGCACCTCTGAAATGTCGGTAAGCTTCTCCGACTACACGGCACAGTAACAAATAGGCTGTCGTCTTCAGAACAGGAAATGTTACATCGAATTTCTCGATTTTCAAGTCAGGTCTCATTGTGTGAAACTCATCTGCTACAAACGATGGCTTTTTGGATATGTAGAAAACATTTTGTGGTTTTGTAAGTTTTAAGTTATAATTTTAAGGTTTTAGCGAATAATATACTTTAAAATAATATGATAAGAAATTTGGTCTAAGTGGGGATTAAATACTCGTTCATCGAAAAAAAACTTACATAAACAGCAAATGACCATTATTTATTTTCAGAACGGAGGATACAGTTCAATTCGCTGGTTTTAAAACTTGAGATATATATATCAGAAATGTTAATAGTTTCGTTTGCTTTCAGTAAACCTTGTACCTGACTGTTTTATGCCGTCGCATGTTTCAGACTTCCCAACAAGACTGTGATGGGGGGAACAACAAGCCGAAGAAGAGTTGGGGAGACCGTCTGAAGCTGAGTAAGAGCGAGAAGGGTCGGGAACAGCAGCTACACCCTGGCGAAGGCAGCCTGATGCAGGAATACCGTAACAAATACGGTACCCTGTCCTCGGGAAGCGCTCTTTCCAAATCAATGAAATACGCCGAAACCTGGCTGTACGGTTCCATGGCAGTGCGTTCGCCAACCAACGGCTCGACCCCTCGCCCCAGTCTGTTCCTGTATCATTCGCCTCCGCCTGTAGCAGTCGTTCCCGCCACTCAGGCCGTGATGATTCCTCCAGCGGCGAATTACGCCGTTGTGATGTGCTCTTGCCCGGAGTTTTTGAAAGGAACTGCAAGAAGTAAGAAGAGTTACTCGGCGGCGTGTAAGAAGTGCGGTGGTTCCAGGTTGTTGTGGAACGTCAGTAGGGGTGGAGGGACCGTCAGGACAGTTGGGCGTAGTGTCGTAACCTCAGAGAATACTATCAAGGGCGTGGGAGGCACTTTAAGACTGGGAGGTGGAAGCAGTGGACATAACCGTGTCAGACCTTCTTTATTGAACCTCACACCAGCCCCTCAATCGACACAAAATCCAAACTGTTCTTCTCAGCCACTGAATGCGGTCGTACCTGATCCCTATGACCTGATGAGAAGGAACCGACTTGGAGGTGTGAACTGTAACGAGAGGCACTCGAGTTTCGGCCCTCAGGACACCTTGCGGGTTAGAGCTAAAAGCACTTCCCCCTGTCGAAGAAGCGTCCGTCGTAGCCCGTCACCCCCAGTGACCCGAAGTGCGTTAGATGACGCACGTCCTGAGAATGGCATACTGGCATTTCGAAGGGACCTGGCGTGGGAACTTGAATGCTCGAACTGGAACTCCGTTATAGAATCTCAGGAAAATACAAAGCGGAAGTCAATTTTGGAGTGTGACGTAAACGCATATGAACTGATAGCAAAGTATTTAAAACATGGAAACAGATCTCCTGAAGGAAATGGTGATAAGAGCGGTAAGATGGAGCAGTACTGCAGGCGTGATGATGATGATGATGTGCTCGATGATGAACTAAGCGATGATTTAAGTGACAATGCTCTGGAGAATTCTTCTTCCGGAATACATGTCACCGCAGGAGCCCGCGTACAAGACACAGTGTCTGTCCGTTCTAAGACTGATCCCAATAGCAGGACCCAAGGTAAAAAAAATGTAAAGCCAACAACTGTACAGCTTTTAAATAGAACATCCTGTATCGAGAAACATCAGAGTTCATCCACATCGGTTCCATCAAGGGTCAGTGGGGTGACTCTAGGAGGACAGAGAATTCGTATATTTAACGAACCTCAGTCCGTGCCGTCCCTTGAAGATGATGACACAAATGTCAAAAGTGGCGAAACTACAAGTTCAGATTTTCTTGGATATAACGGAGCGGCTTCCGGGGGCCGTCGGAATGACGAGATTGACACAGAGCCCTCTCGACAGCAGGAGAGGCTCCCCACATCATCGTCACTTATTCCTCGCCTCACTTCACCGCGACGACCCCCTAGGAAGACGAAGATGTGTTCAGAGTCTTCAAGTAGCTTCGGCAGTAACAGTGATGTTGTGGTGAAAGAAAATGGAGGGAGTGAAAACGAGAGTGTAGGGGCCAGCAACACGAAGACCGCTGGAACCTCCAGTTCCTCGCAAGCGAAGGATGGTAAACCCTCGTCCGCATCGGAAGGCGTATGCATAATTAAGTCGATTTTAAAGAAACCTTCTGCTCTATCGCCTGGAGAGATTTCAAGCTGTTTGAAGACTTTCGGTGACACGGATTCCAAACCGGATTGCTCTGTATCGTGGCCCGCTGTTATTTCTGCATCGTCAGGCGAACGGCACTCACCTTCACCTGAAGCTGCAAGTGCAGGTTCAAGCGACTTTTACTTGCCCACGTTTCAAGAATTCAAGCAGCAAAACAGAAAGAAGAAGCAGGTGCAGTTTAAGGTCGCTAACGACGTTACCGTCTTACAACCAGCAGAGCAGGAAAGAAACGTCGACCATCCTGTTACAACCCCTGGAAGATATTCCGTTTTGAACACAGCAGATGTCACGTCTGATCTGTTACCTGTTACAGAAGTCGAGAATGATGGCGTCATATCTTCAGATAAAACTGATTTAAAGGATCGCGCTGAGAAGGAAGAAGTAGGATGTGTGAAGGACGAAATACGAAATAAATATGTCAGATTCGTGAAAAAGGAAGAAAATCGATCGGATTTGATCGACGATAGATCTGACAGTTCTGTTGAAATCAGAGCCGCGAGTAAATCATCGATTTGTGATAAGGAAAATCTTGAAAGCTTCGTCAGTGATAGTGTTGAAAGGTGTGGCACAAAGCGGGAGAATAATAACACTGACAGTGTTGAATGTGCTAAGGTGCTGAGGTGTTTTGGCGACGGCGATGTGGCTGCATCGCTGGATGATGCGGGCGGAAGTGTGGCTGCTGCTGATGATGTTACGAGTCCACCTGGCGGCACAGCTGCGAATATTTCTGGTGAGTCTTCATGATTATATTTTGTTGTTCTGCTCCCCCAACACCTTTCAATTAGGTCTCGGAAAAACTCACAGTTCATGTGTAAAATTAAGTGTTTTTTTCCGTCAAATTTGCTGTTTCGTATTTGGTGTGTGCATTATCTCGAAAGCCCAAAGCCGAAGTTTCACATTTAGCTCCAGCCACGAAAACCAGAGTATAAGAATTTTCCCTCCATTATTTTATTTTTACGTCATCCAACTTTACTCTTCGACGTGGAGGCTCTGTATGTCAAGTGAGATTACCAAATGTTCGTAAATTGCGTGGTTACTAACAAGGGAGGAGTCTGCCATGGTGCCTTTCAATCTGCCATCTCGATGTTCGTCTGAGGAAACTGAATAATTACGAAAGTCAAGTCAGGATTATCCTGTAAGTTAGAACGAGTTTCGAAATAAATATTCTCGCATTATTAACCGCTTTATTACGAGTAAGTCCGACGTATAGAAATTTCGCAAGCTTGTGGCTTAATCCTCGAGACAGGATTAATCCTTAGTTCCCAGTGGTGAAATTTATCACTTCTGCAGGGTGTCCCAAAAAGATGTATGCACTTTCAAGTATAGAATATTGACCTTGTTATTGATCTCCTTATATTGTGTTTATGGTGATCATTTTTAACACCTATACGAGACTCAGTAATGTACTTTGTGCCAATGTTGTCGTCTGTAATGGTTCGGTTTATTAAAATGACTTTAGTTAATTCATTGAATGTATATATACTTCGTTTTGGGACACACTGTATAGTTTAATGCCCTGCAGTTGTTCCACCTGATCTGCAGAGAAAGCGGAGACATTGAAACGGTGATGGAGTAGAAATTACTAAGGACGAATGTAACCGTGTTTGAAGGTAACCAGTATTATAGAATTAAAGATTTTACCAGGTAAAACGTCTCCTAACTAATCTGATATATGCATCACTTTGCGCTACTAGACGCTGTATCGTTCTGTAGAACTTTCACAAGATTAGGCGAAGTGTAAAAGCACTCGCTTTTTTTTTCTTATTTGTAAACTGAAAGTTAGACTTGAAATTAGAGTAACTTCAGACCGACAAAACGGAATTATTTCGGTAGTGCTGTTTATGTGGTAATTTGTTTCTTGCTTTTTCACAGGTCTAGTGGAAAATAATATAAATGTCTCACATAATTAATTCAGGTTATGCAGTTTAAAGGTCAATGGTAACTATATGTACCACCTGTTTAACAATCAATAAATTTTCATTTCGTATTTATGAGATTCGTATGATTCTTATAATGATCACGTGTTATTTTCTTAAACAGCATTTACCAGTTGATCTTCGTAATGGTGAAGAGTTGTGTTTTCTTTGTGGTACGGACTGAATTCTTAAATATTATTTAGACGATTTTCGGCGTCAGAGAGTTAACCAGTTGATATTCGTAATTGTGAAATTTTGTGTTTTCTTTGCGGTACGGACTGAATTTTTTGATATTATATAGATGAGCTTCGGACATCAATGGTTAAATCTGGTGTAATTTCGAAATTGGAAATAGATATACATCAAGAGAAGGCTAAGATCCGGTGGGGCTAGATTTTCCTGTTCCTTAGACAACGCGAAGGTTACTACTAGCAGTAAGATGGCAGTAATTATTCATGGTAATCGAACCGGTACAGACGTAGTTATCAGTGACGCTAAAGGAGTTTGGAAAGTGATTTTGTAACGCAATAGAATTACTGCGTCAGAAATAAATCTCCAGAATTTTTAAATTTAGAAAAGTAAAATGACTGGATATTTCGCCTGTAGGCTTTTTTGTATAATTTATGTTGAAGAAGAGGAGAAAACAGGATGTGAAGAGGAAGGTAGCATGAAAAGGCACAAATAAGTTATTTTCCTCTCGTGCTCTTCTATCGTTTCCTTTTTCTTTTTCTTCTTCTTCTTCTTCTTCCTTTTTTTAGTTTGTCATTCTTTATTGATCCTTACTTTTATTTCATTTTTATTCCTCGTTTATCGATATATTTCTTTTTTTCTTTCATTCATTATTTCGTTCTCGAAGAAAAACAGAAGAATAAACATGATAAAAACAAGAACAAGCGGACAGAACCCCAGCAATAAACATGGAGGACAGGTTGATAGTACGACGAACAACATAAAGATGTCGCTTTTAATCTTCTGGATTGTAACACCGTGTGGACCTTGTAAGTGAATAACAATTGTTTTAGGAATATTCTGCTTCCATCTTCAGGGCTTCAGTTCTGCATGGTACCTTCATGTTGACGGTTAAACCCCTGAACATAGAGGCAGTAAGAATCTTTGGAATATGTTAGGTAACTTCAAGGTCAACACGGGGTTACAACGCAGAAGACGAACAGCGACATCTTCCCCGCTGTGAGAACCGTAAATAACAAAAATAAACTTTTATAGCAGAAGCAGAAGAATAATGTAAAAAAGATTAGGGCATTACGTAAGGCCTCATTTACGTAAGGGCTGGATTAGATGGAATCCGAGACAGTGAATCTGTCAATGGATCGGATTAAGCCATTTGCTCTCAGACTTGTATTTCTTTAGTGGCATTATCAGAATAAAGAGAGACGTCCACATAATTCCGCGGCAGTAGTTAGTAGAAGAAGTCTGCAACTTATCAGCACCCAGACCGTAACATTGTGACCAGATCATGTTTAATCAGGATTTCCAACGTTAGGCGAGAAAGAATATGTTTTATCACTGAGTGATAAAGTTAATTTGTAGCCAAAGTGGAAGTGTGTGGATCACATATTAATTCAACATTTATGATCATTTCGATTTTTTAAAACAATTTATGCAAGCGCAGATTTGCATTCTTGTTTATCTGTTCCCAGCAGTGCAATGTTAGTGCATGCGCACAGCTGGCTGCCAAGCCGATATGCATGATTCCGTAAAGAGGCATGTTATGTTCTGAAAACAGTGTCTGCGAGCAAACAAAGTGGTTCTTGAAATCGACGGAACAAGGCAAATTTAGGCAAAACCGAACTTCTGGACTGCGAATAGTAAACAGATGCCAGCCATATGCCAGTACTTGCTACGAGAAAGAGTAATTACCTTGAAACCAGACACTGATGTGGAATGTACCAACAAAGATTTCTAAATGTCTTTGTAACATGCGTTTTAAGTTTGTCATCTGGAAATTTTAATTTTTCGTAAAAATGTACCAAAAAAATTAATTTTAAACAAAGAGCTATTTGGTTGGTTGTTTTGTTGAGTTCCTGATTAAGGAGGCAGGAGGGACCTCCTGGAACGTCGGTAAACTTCTAACAGACTAAACGGCGCTACAAACCAGAAGACGGTCATCTTCATCAAAGAAAGAAACTTGCTATGTCCAAGAAATCTAATGGTAATGGGAATTGGAACGTTTTGAGACACTTAGAAAAACAATAAGAAATTTGAGGAGTTCCCATGTTTTCTTTTGAGGGTGACATTTTACGTTTATTTTCCTCTTTCTCTGTTCTTCCTTGCTGCTCGTATTGGTCCTCCTCTTCTCCTGCTTCTGGGTCGGCAGATTAACCTCTCAAGCAAGTTCGTGCTCCATGAAGCTGGACCTAGCAGCGCAAGTGTCGAGATGATCTGTAGCGAGTAGAAAGTGGCAAGTGATCTCACTGGCATCATTTCTTTTGCCCGCTCTTCGCGTTAATATCCGTCCGTTCTAAACTCATTAGTCGGAGAGACCTTTCACCTAACAGGTTTCTACCTATGGTTGATTACATGGCCATGAATACGTGTTGTTGTATGGAGGAAAATGTCCCTTTATTCTAAGTCTTGCCTCTGTGTGATCGATGTTTCTCGATCCTACATTAAATGACCTCGAAGCCCTGAGGATTTACTGGATTGGATTTAACCTGGAGGTCATTAGGTGAAACTCCGTCATTCTGAGATATCCTCTTAGAAGCGTCTTCAAAATATGAAGACGACGTAAATTAAATTGTTATTTTGTGGTCCGAACATTACGAACAAGTCAGAATGTCTTTTATTGAATGTTTAGACCGTACACACTTGCCTGTCTGTTTTTTTTTCTTGCGAACGCTTCAATATCAGAAGTTACGTGAAAGTTACTGAATGTTCAATAGCAAAAACTGTTAGCTTTTATGTGCAAGGTAAATATTTGCCTTTCTAATGATGAAGAGTTGCGCTAAGAAATTTAAAATTAAAAATTACTGGATGTTCGAGTGCTGTCCTTGAACCATGAATACAATCCACGCCCTTCAGCCACACTTTCCTAAAATCAATTTTAATATTATCATCCGTCTACTCCTAGATCTTCCGAATGGTCTCTTTTCTTCAGACTTTCCAACCAAAAATTAACAGCCGGTTGACCACAGTTTGAACTTGACTGACGTCAAAACCTGGAATTTCATACTAATTAAGCTGAACTGCATTAAATTAACTAGTGGAAAGTAAAATATATGTTGTGATGAGAATCTGATATTATGACGGCAGTAATGAAGATCATTGTCACTGTTGTGAAGAATTAATTTGTTCCCATGCTCTTAAGAATCTCACAAAGAACGTCACTCCGTCCGTCCTATATCCGCGCATAATTTTATCTCATTTTCTCGCTGCAGCCTTTACTACAAGGGAAGAAGAATAAATTGTGTTAAAATTTACCTTTTGTTCAGATGCCAACGAAGCGCATTAAAATGTCGCACTTATATGTAACTTTAAAAACTTCTACCCTGTACTAATAACAGTTTTTTGTCCGTATATTAATGAAGTAGCAGTACATTTTAGATCTAGAATGTTTAAAGCACTAAGTTGAAGCTATCCACAGTCCTTTGCGTGTTGTTTCGTCGTGATTGATGAGTAGTTTCTAATTTCATATTTATGTATTAGCGTTTTTAACCTGTTGGCCGCCCGAAGCAGCCAAAGCCTGTAATTTATTTCTGATGACCTTGATATTCAACCACAGTTCCGTGGCTAGAACGATTGAGTTTGATATTGGTGAATAAAATTATTCATATGGAGCGGAGTCACTTACGCCATT